CCACCCACTCCAACCTGCCTGCACTCACCTCTTCACCTCTTTCCCACACTCCCCATCACACTGGACTGTTGACCCCAAATACTTAAAACTCCTGCACCTTCTTGACCTCAGCCCCCTGTAACCTCACTGTTCCACTTCCCTCCCTCTCGTTCATACACATGTATTCTGTCTTACCACGACTGACTTTCATTCCTCTTCTTTCCAGAGCAGATCTCCACCTTTCCAGGTGTTCCTCCACCTGCTCTCTGCTCTCACTGCAGATCACAATGTCATCCGCAAACATCATTGTCCACGGAGATTCCTGTCTGACCTCATCTGTCAACTTGTCCATCACCAGAGCAAACAAGAAGGGACTCAAAGCTGATCCTTGATGTAGCCCCACCTCCACCTTGAACTCCTCTGTCTGACCTACAGCACATACAGCATATCTCACTACTGTTGTACTCCTCTCATACATATCCTGAACTACTCTGACGTACTTCTCTGCCACTCCTGACATCCTCATACAGTACCATAGCTCCTTATTATTTATATATTTATATTATTTAGATCCTTATTATTTTCTTTTTTTTCTATTTCAAGGAAATAATATACAATATATATATAAACTCATATCAAGTACAGATTCAACAATAACAATAACGATGGTTACATACAGTAACCCAAGGTTCTATGAGTATAGGCTTCGCCCTCTAAGAGCTGTCGCTACTGGGTTTATCCCTCGTGCATGCGCAGTCCTGAAGAGATTCTTTCACGCCCTGTGCCCTGCACTGGGCTGTCCTCAATTACGTCCGCAGCAGTAGTATAGATGTTACTGCAGCCTTAGCTCTACTCCCTAAAAAACACTAGCACTTTTTCTTCAGCCGGCGGGGGTGAGGACAGCAGGGTCGCCAGCTTAGAGGGCTACGCCTATACTCATAGAAGTTTGGGTTACTGTATGTAACCATCGTTCTATTTCGTATAGGCTTCGCCCTCTAAGAGCTGTTGCTATTGCCCTGTTGGCACACCGCTGCCCAAGAGCATTAAAAAAACCACATATTACAGCCTGCTAAGTACCCAACGACAGTAACTAGGCAGCCACAGGGGAGTGCAAGGGGGGGGCACAGATGGCCTGTGGGGATATGAAAGAACACACTTGTCCACAGCGCGCGGCAAGTGCCGGGAGCCCAGGTACGGATCACAGTAGTGATGGACATGGAGGCATAGGAGCACTGGGGGCGCATGGAGTGTGTGTGTGAGTGCGGTGGGGCACACCACGCCAGCGCACAGCGATCAGACCGCTGGTGGTGTACTCACGTGGCGTCACGGGGAGGGGGCCCAGCGTCACGTGCGATACTCAGAACCGAGTGAGCCAGTGAGAACTGAGATGTGTCCCGAAGGTAAAACCGGGTGAAGGGACATGGGGAAGCCCATGAAGCTGCTGTGTAGATATCCTCCACAGCCATGCCTCTAAAAAGGGCAGTGGAGGACGCGATGGCCCGCGTAGAATGGGCTCTGATGTCTGGTGGGGGGTTGTTCCCGGCTGTCACGTAAGCCTGTGTAATAGCTTCACACAGCCAGTGGGATAGCCGTTGTTTTGTCAGGGGCTGCCCGAGAGAGCGGCCTCTGTAATGCACAAACAACTGTTGTGTCTGCCGGACAACTGCCGTGCGCCCCACGTAGTGGGACAGAGCGCGCACCAGGCAGAGGGTGTGGAGGTTCCTCTCCGACTCGTCCCTGTGAGGAGGAGGGAAGAACCCCTCCAGGGAAATAACCCTGGATCGGTAGGAGGAGGAGATTATTTTAGGCGCATACGCGGGGTTCGGTCTGAGAATGGCCGTGCTGCCGTCCCCGCAGATTAGGAGGCACGCCGGTGAGACAGAAAGTGCGCACAGGTTGCCCACGCACTTGACCGAAGTCACGGCTAGGAGAAGCGTTGTCTTCAGGGAGAGGTGTTTGAGAGAGATGTGTGCCATGGGCTCAAAAGCAGGCTGGTTGAGCGCGCGTAAAACCAGAGGCAGGTTCCACTGTGGCGCCATCGTGTGCATCACGGGCCTCAGTCTGCCCACACCTCTGAGAAAACGTTTTACCAGTGGGTGTGTGAATACGGTTCTGTCGCCAAATGGCATGACGAGATGGTGGCAGCATGCGCTTTTACAGTAGACAGAGCCAGGTTTCTTTCAACCAGGGTCTGAAGGAAAGTCAGCACCTGAGCCACTGGGCAGGAGGTGGGAGCTGTGTCCTTCTCCATGCACCAATGCTGAAAAACTGACCATTTTGCTGCGTAAGAGGCCGTAGTAGATTGTGCTCTGGTGCACTGAATAGTGTGCACCACCGCTGGGGGCAAGCCTATGCTCTCCAGACACTCCCGCTCAGGGGCCAGGCCCACAGCCGCTGGCCGATCACAGGGCACTGCTGGATCCGCCGTCCAGCTGGGAGAGCGCGTCTCCCCATCGGGGGAGCTGCCAGGGATCCCCCGCCAGCAGCTGAACCATGTTCGGGAACCAAGCTGCGCTCATGTGCTCCGGAGCTATCAGGAGGACACGCAGCCGCTCGTCCTGCATGCGTGAGAGGAGTCGCAGAATGAGTGGGGCCGGGGGGAACGCGTAGAGGAGGCCCCTTGGCCAGGGGTGGTGAGCAAAGGCATCCACCCCCAGAGGCGGGTCGTCTCTGGCGCACATCAAGAACCAGAGGCGGCACTGCGCGTTCCCGCGCGCTGCGAACAGGTCTGCCACCGCTCGGCCGAACCTGTCCCACAGTGTCTGTGCCAGGGTTCAGCCTCCACTCGTTGGGCTGAGGTCTGCCCCGCGACATGAGGTCCGCGGCGCGGTTCTGCTCGCCAGGGACGTGTACGGCTCTGATGGAGAGCAAGTTCTGATGTGCCCAGAGCAGGAGTTCCCGTGCAATCTCCAGCAACCAGGCAGAGCGAACACCGCCTTGCCGGTATATGTACGCGACGGCTGTCATGTTGTTTGATCGTATCATGACGTGTCTGCCCCTCAGCACCGGTGCAAAGTGCTTCACCACTTTCAGCACCGTGGCTAGTTCCAGACAGTTGATGTGGAGAGACGGGGTGTGATCCCACCGTCCTCCCACGGCCTGAGACAGGCACGTGCCACCCCAGCCGAGCAGAGACGCGTCTGTGAGCACCGGGACGTGTGACGTGGCTCTGCCCTGGGGAACCCTCATTGTCAGCACACTGGGAGTTCCCCAGTACTCCAGGTCTGATTGGACCGAGGGCGGGACCGTGCGCACGCGCCCTTTGTGGCGTACTGGGTCGAGGCGCAGACGGCCGAACCACCTCTGAATCTTCCTCATGTGGAGGAGACCGAGGGGGACTATGACGTGACTGGCTGACATCGTTCCTAGTAAGCGCATGACGGATAGAGCCGTCACTCTCGCGTGGGGAACAACGCGGTGCAGGAGAGACCAAAGCATTTCTCGCCTGGCGGGTGTCAGCCTCGCTCTCGTGTGCAGAGAGTCCAGGTGCGCCCCCAGGTAAGTGAGTGTCTGGGAGGGCACCGATGAACTCTTCTCCCAATTTATTGCAAACCCAGTTGTGCCAGGTGTTGCACCAGCATCGCTGTGTGGGACGCCACTTGATGTCTGGAGCGTGCCATCAGAATCAGATCGTCTAGGTAAAAGAGGACCGTGATTCCTGCTCTGCGCAGCGCTTCTAATGCTGCTTCCACGCATTTCGAAAAGGTGCGGGGGGCCAGAGAATAGCCGAAGGGCAGCCTGTTGTACTGGAAGTGTGTGCCTTGGAAGGCGAAACGCAGGAATTTCCTGTGTTTGGGAATAATAGGCACATGAACATAAGCGTCTCTCAGATCGATGGAAGTAAACCAGTTGCCGGGATGCACGCATTCCAGCACCTGTCTCGTGGTGAGCATATGAAACGGTCTCTGTACTATGTATTTGTTGAAGAAGGACAGATCGAGGATAGGTCTCATCTCGCCCAATTTCTTGGGAACCAGGAAGTAGCGCGAGTAGAAACCCTCGCGCTCCTGCCCCTGCGGAACCATGGAGATTGCTGCTTTGGCTAGCAGCACTTGCAGCTCTGTCGCCAGTGCAGCGGAGCTCGCAGGTAACGTTATGACAGTCTCCAGCACGCTGCTGAAAGCAGGAGGGTGCCTAACCACTGGTGCGCCCTCTCTGCCATTGCCAGAGACGAGTGTTCGCTCTGCGTAACCCATGGGAGGGCGCTGGAGAAAGGGCTGAGAGAAGAGAAGCGCCACGTGTTCAGCTACAGCGCTCGCCTCCTGTGTGGAGGGGAACCCGTCGCTCATACGCACAAGTGGGTGAGGAGTGGGGAGACCACACAGACTCACAGGCAGCTCTGTATCAGACAGAGCAGCGGTGTCATGCGTTGACAAAGTGGGGAGGAAGATCATGTCCCCCCCAGCGGTGGCTGCTGGGCGCCTGTCTCTGAAGCGTTGACCGCCCTGCTGACTACGCTTCAGAGACAGGCGCTGGGTTCCAGTGGCGGGGAGCCCAAGGTCGGTCATCCCGTCGACTCTGGTGAACGGCCCGAAGCGGGCAACCAGAGCCTGCAGGCCCCCAGGCCGCTCTTGTGCCTCGGCCAAGAGGGGCTGAATGGTGGGGAACCTGGGCCAGATTGGGGAGGGCTTGCGCAGCTGTCTGCCTTGTAGTAGTCCCCTACCATGTCCGAGGGAGCAGGGGGTGGGCTGGCCTCAGGGACGGAGATGCCTTTCCGGACTGCAGCCTTTGCGATAATGCCGGGCAGGTCATGGAGCAAACCACCGGGCGCCGGAGGCTGGCTGGTGGATGGAACAAGATGTTCATTCGGGGAAAACCCGCCTCCGCCGGTCTCCCGGGCGACAAAGCCGAGGAACTCCAGGGAATCATCCGCCACTGGGTCGTCATCGTGTGTGGCCCAGGTAACGCCCTCATCTGGGCCCTTGTCCTTTGTGGCTGCGAAAACATCCATCCTCTGCCGCCTCTCCGCCACAGGGAAGCAAGTGCAGAAGGGGCAAGCGGCCTGCGGAGAGAGGGCCAGCTCGGCGTGCTCCGCACCGAGGCAGGCGTCGCAGTGGGCGTGCGGGTCGCTGGGCAGGATGAAGCCCGTTTCACAGCTGGGACACACGGTGACAGCGGGGCGGTGCCGGGTTCCGGTGGAAAGGGAGCTGCTTCACTCTTTAGTCTTATCCAAGTCGATGCTCATAGGACTGGACACTGAAGAAAAAGCTAAGGCCGCAGTGACATCTATACTACTGCTGTGGATGTAATTGAGGACAGCCCAGTGCAGGGCACAGGGCGCGAAAGAATCTCTTCAGGACTGCGCATGCGCGAGGGATAAACCCAATAGCGACAGCTCTTAGAGGGCGAAGCCTATATGAAATAGAACAATACCAAAACTCAAATGGGAAAACGATTCAACTCTCTCCCTCAGCTTCGCCTTCTGGACAGAAATTTGCAATAACATATTTTTTATGACCAGCAACAAAAACTTGCACCTTATACAACACAAGACCATCTATAGGACTCATATTACACAAAGTAAAATGTTCAAAATGGATTTTACTGACATAGACATCTGTTCACAATGCACTCTACTTTGCACCAACAATTATTTTCATGCTACTTGGACCTGCCAACCAGTTCATTCCAGTGACAGAGAAACTCTCCTCCATCTTGGGCGACAGAATCCCTCCTTCTCTATCACTTTGCTTGCTCGGTAATATCACAGACGTTGACCACCTACCAATTAAATACAAAAACCCACTCCTCATTTCTCTAGCTATTGCCAAGAAAACAATCTTTCAAAACGGGAAATCAAAAAAATCTCTACACATAAACCACTGGACCAACCTTCTGATAGAATACATCACACTAGAGAAAATGGCATCTACTCACAAGAATAGTTTATCAGCTTTTTGTGACACATAGAACCCATTTTAACACATTTCAACTTGAACCAAACACCTGGGGCTGAGGCCACGCACATTCCCACCAACTTCTAAAAATGTTAACAAGTTGCTTTTATTGGTAGTACTCTTATCATTGTTGTGATTTCTTTTCTCTCCCTCTCCCTTTCTTGCCCTTCATAGACTGCATAAGTTGGAAATACACATACTTCACAGTCTCACACACCACACTGTTGTAAAACACTCTACATCTTTTTGTAATATCATTGTCTTGTCTCCCATGTCCAGACTTGTTTTGTTAACATGTTAGTGTTTCGATAAAAAAAAGTTGCGAGGTCGTAATTTGTAACTTTACACCTTTTCCATTTGCTTCCAGTCTTTGCTAAACTGTCCTTCATGACTGCAGCTATGTTCATAAGGCACAAACATGAGACTGATGTCAGTGAAGCTCATATGAATGTCAGGATACTTCAGTCACCACATCCCTTACCTCCAACACACACACACACACAGCTGAAAAAAATGACTAGAGTGCAGGACAGAGGTAGTCACCCTCATTTAGACTCTTCACTACTGACTGTGATTGGACAGTTAGAGTTCAAGAGGCCAGCTTGGTTGTCTCATTACCCCTGCATCCAGATGTGTGAAAGCACATTGCAACTTTTCACCTCCCTGTCAGCATGTCTCCTACGCTCTGTCCTCTGACAAATAGCCTTGAAGTTCAAAGCTGCCTGCACACCCTCAATCCCGTCTTTTTTGTTTGTTTGTTTTGTCGCCTTCCGCTAAGACATGAGAGGACTAAATTGCGGTTAGACATCTAGAAAATCCCAAGTATTGCATTTCTGGGTCTCCCAGAATGTGAGAAAGGATGTGGTGAATTGCATTAGCCTGTGCCTACTGCTAAAGCATGCCAGTGTTTCGAGAAGCCCTTGGCAGTGTGGAGAGGCAATTCATTCTGACTAAATGTAGGTTGCCATGATATGTGAAGAGTGCTTTGTGGAGAGAGCTTGGTAGAGCCAAAAGAAGCATCAATGAGTCCTTTACCTAAGCTCTGAATACATCACCCTCAAAGTGTCAAAGACCACTTGTGTTTTATCCTGGCCTGTATGATGGGGATGAAGATACTCACTGGATTAGAAGGGTCAAAATTTGGATGAGGGACAGCAAGGGCATTTCATATAGACAGCCTTCTAACACCACAGTGTAAAGACAGTCTCAAAGGAGCAGTCTCTCTGTGCCATCAGCACCAAAGAACTGGGGCAATGGTGAAATACTGGCATTGCAAAGCATTCAGGATCCATAACAGCGCAGTTGAGAATAAACTGCAAACATCAAAAACAAAGAGATTTCTGTAGCATTGTCCATTGAGTCATTAATAACCTTAACTTGGTTTACAAGTTTTAGATGGCTCAGTCTACATTCTGATCTACTACTTTGAATTACAGCCTCAAGAAAATATTAACTGAACCATTATCAGTGTCAAATTCTTACTTTAATCAATACAGCTGTCCACTGCGGAGTTGACTACTGCATTCAACCTTCCAATCCATGAGTCATCTCCTTTATTTAGTGTTCTCTCTGAGCAGCATGGCACAGGAGCCTGTGGGACAAAACCCCATCTGTCAGCCACTGTGGAGGGACAGCGACAACCATTAGAGCAATGGATTTCTGCTGTTCCCTGTCTCAACACTACGTTTCATGGCCTGAACACTTTCACCATATATGGTATTGCAGTGTCAAAGTGAGCTCAAAGTAAGCTCTAAGTGAGACAAATCATTCCACTCAGAGCTTGCTGAATACAGTACTCACAAAGTACCTGACAATGTTACTTTGCCCAAATTCCTCAATTTTCTGAGGATGCTCTTTGTTTTCCTCAGCTGTAGTAGTTGTTTTGCTTGTTTTCTGACTTTGCTTGGCAGCGTTCTCATGCTCCATCCTGCCTTGCTCTCACTTTAAATATACAGTACAACTTAATGCAGAACTATAACTGCTGGAGGCCCTGTCGAAGCACAATATACATTTTCCACTGTGCGCATATGTGTGTAAATTGTTGTACTTTCATCTGCCAACCAAAGTCATACGGGACTTTCTTCTTAACAAAACTTGTGTTTACACAGTGTTTCTCGCCAAAACACACTGAGTGATTGTTTGAGGCCTAACAAACAATTTTAACGTGTTTATGTCTTCCCGCTACAACAACTCATTCACATTATAAATTCAGAATAAAGTAGGCTACATGTCCACAGCACAAATACATCCGTAAAACAACAGTGACATTTTATACTCACCACTCCGCAATTAAGTTTGCCCTTTATAACAGAAAAAAAGGTTGATTTACTCTAATTGATTGCAGTCCTTCCATCTTTGGCGTGCACCTGATTGCTGTTAAGATGCTATCAATAAAGCATATCACTTCCTTTTTCACAGTAAAAGCCGGTAGGTAGAACAGCTGACAAGGACGATCCTGATCGA